CAACTGAGAATACGTTTCATCATTTAAAGTTTCAGAAGACCAGTTCTTCCGACCCCAATGCCTTCAGGCTGCTTCCATCCTTACTCATTCTGGGCTGACTTTCTGATGCAGCAGCCTCATCTACTGGCTCCAGCTGCCTGCCACCAGCTGCTCACTTAACCAACCCTGTACTGTTGACTCTGGTTCTCATCATAAACTCTCTACAGCCTTACAGACAGCAAATCAGCCAGCTCCTCCTCCAGCCTCATTCTTTAACTTTGCATCAAATCTCTTTCTTCTAACCTGAGCTTCTATGTCTTGACCTCACAGACCTTTAAAAGTGCTTAAATTGGGCAAACAATTGTGAACTTTTTGAACCCCCCCCCTTTAAATATAGAGTATTGATTCTAATCGACTGTCTATCCCCATCGGCTATAGAAAGTTGCCACTTGACATCTCTGAACTTGCTAGATATATTATTTATTCTTTTAACCTAACAGTTGCACTGTTCACATGATGGGTCTCTGTGTTTCCTAGACATGTCTAACAGTCTGTTTGACTTGCATGTTTTATGTTTTAGGAACTGCTTCTTGCTCCACCTGTTTCTAACCCACTGTCACCTTACTCTCCATTCCCTCAACAAGATCAACTTCATGCTTCATAACTTCCCAAATGGTTCCCCTCTTCTAATTACTGCTTGGTGGTCACTCAGCCTGCCACTCCATCTGCAACATCTATCAACTAACAAACTACTGTGAATTTTGAAATTTAGACAATTGGAGCTGTGATTTCAGACAAGAACTGGGTTTCACCTCCCTATGCTTAACTGGAACTGAGACTCAGTTTTAACTGTAATATAGGAATGAAAATCCTTATTTCATAGTTGTGAAATTAAAATATTTATATTAAGAAAGGATTTAAGCCCAATTTGAGATATCAACAAACTACAATTAAGACCTAAACATTTTTATAGCTAAACTATTTCAAACCTGCCAAAGGAGAGCCTGTCAGTGCAGAGAGGGTGAAAGCCCTTTCACATCCTCTAACCAGGCTCTCTCTCTTTGTATTCAGAAAACAAAGCACTACAAACTTTATAACAGGGGGAAAGATACACTGTGAGATCACTCTCAAGCACTTCAGAAACAAGCACTCCTTGGTGAAATCTAATAAGAAGTCTTATACAACTCACTGACCAATGGGTTAAAAACAATACCACATTGTCATCTCAACATACATTCTGAAAGTATGTGATCAGATTTAATAACTCAAAAAAGAAAAAAAAGGACAAAATATTTTTTAACAGATCATAAATGAAAATTATGAATATTTGACTGTGAAACCATAAAGGCATTCTTATGCATTTAGGGCTGACTTCTTGGGATTGGCTAGCCTACCATGGGGCTCATCCATGGGGAAACTGATTCTCCTCTCTCAAGCACCCATTAATTGCCTATAGCTCTTCTTTCAAGGAAGAAACTTCATGAGAATTCTCCCACCCAAACTGACTTGTCAATTGGTATGGCCACTTTTTGGGATGGTTTAGGGAACCATCTTGTGATTACCTGGTATATGAGATTTCCCTGTCATACACAGACGACACTGTCTCATAGCAGACATCTCAGCTCTGTCCTCTACTCTTAACAGTCTTTCTACCCCCTCTTCCATGATGTTCTCTGAGCCACAGGAGTAGAGGTTGTGTTGCAGATGTATTACTTGGGGCTCAGCACTCCATAGTCAGTTTAAACAGCATTTTCAACTGCTAAATGTTCTCTTTCCTTTGTTCAGATAGGCAGCCTAACTCTGGAAGGACCAAAAAAAAAAGTCTGGCAGCACTTGGCTTTCAAATAGTAAGCAACAGACATACTGTTAATTCCCCACACCATTCCACCCTGCCCAGACCGACAAAACATTGAAGGTCCTTAAAAAAGGTAAGAGAACATCCTAGTATTGTGAGAACAGATGTCCTTCAGAAGAACACCTTCTGTGGAGCCTGAGACCCTTCGAATCACTATGGAATCCTGGGAGCCGGGTGTTGGTGGCGCACGCCTTTAATCCCAGCACTCGGGAGGCAGAGGCAGGCGGATCACTGTGAGTTCGAGACCAGCCTGGTCTACCGAGTGAGTTCCAGGACAGGCTCCAAAACAATACAGAGAAACCCTGTCTCGAAAAACCAAAAAAAAAAAAAAAAAAAAAAAAAAAGAAAACCAATCTTGGTACTATTGACAACATCAACTATTCTAACAAAGAGTACACTGTCTTTATCTTGTTCCTTGTTAAGATGTTGCCTCCAGGAATGCCCTTCCTTCTTACTGGTCAACCTTCTCTTCAGCTCCTCAAGGATTAATTTTGAATAATTATCTCATTCTTTCCCCCAAATTCTTTTACCTTGAGTCTACTCTTTTTCTTCATGCATGCATGCATGCAAACATCAAAGTCTTTCAATCTATGCTCTATTGTAGTGGACTTTTTATAAAAGATCTTATGTGCATGAGTGTTTTGCCTACATATGTTATTTTACCTACATACACATATGTGAGAAACACAGGAGCACCTGGTGCCATTGAGGGTCAGAAGCAGGCGTCAGATCTCCTGGAGTTGGAGTTATGGATGATTGTGAACAAGCATGTGGGTGCTAGGACCTAACTGGGGCCCTCTACAAGAGCAACAAGTGCTCTTAATCACTGACTCCAGCCCCTGAAATGGTTTTTCAACCATGTTCACATCTAGGAAACTAATAATATTTTTTAAAGTTTTAAACTTTTACAGGCAAGCACCCTATACTAACAGAAAGTGAGTGAGTGTTCCCCAGGGATCAGAAGGAAAGATTACAAAGGATACAAACAAACTTTAGGAGGCAATGTACGGGTTCACTGCTTTAATTGTGGTAATGATTTTGCAAATATAAACATATTAAGCATTAAATGGCACAACTGAAATATGTATATTTTATTACATACCAGCTATATTTCAGAAAGTTCTTGTCCTATGTTGCCCTCATTGGAAAAAGGGTGGGGATTCCTTCTGAGAGTAAAAAATTTTAAGTTCCTCAAAAGATTATAATGTGTAGCCAAGGCAGAGAAGAACTTTGCATAGCCAGCACTAACTCCTCTCTTTACTTCAGTTTTCTTGAAAAACCTCACTCACGAATCTCTACTTTTTTGCAACCAATAATCTGATGACTGGTTTTTGAACTACACTCTTAAAAGTCACCTATGAAGATTTCCTGGGCTTGATTATAAAATAAATAATAGGCAAGAGGATGCTGAGTAAGAGTGAACTAGAAGATATATGTATACTTACTGTCAAAATGACACCATTCTTTAAAAGGGATTTTATAAAATAGAAGAATAAAAAACAAACAAAAAACTAGAAAAAGGAAGGGCAGGTCTTCGATGACTCAGTGGTAAAGGCACTCGTCACCAAGCCTGATGACCAGATAGGCTAGGCACCCACAAGGTGAAGTAGAGACCGAACTGATCTTGGCGCCATTGCAATTGCATGCACTCGTGTACGTACGCACGTGCGCGCGCACACACACACACACACACACACGCATGCACACACACGCACGTGCACACGCACGCGCGCACATACACACACTCCACACAAACACACATACATTTTTAATTTTTCAAAAGGAAAGACAACAGGAACTGTGCACTGGCCCAGCCCATTCCCTACCGTGTTTATATCCAGAGGCTGTTAGTTCTGATTACTAACAGAATTTCTAATCTGTTTCTGGCAATAATGTTAATAAGTCAAATGACTTCAATATGTGTCAATTGCAGAATCTGTTTTCCTAAATACATGTGGGACTTCCCCCTTGCACTAAAGTGATCAGATTATCTGAATATTTGATTTTGAGGCTACTACTGACAAAGCAGCCCTTTTTCTTTCTTGTCCTTCCCCGTGCTTCAAAACGTGGTTCAAACTAAGATTCATCCTGTAAACCGTAAAACGTATTCACTTAAAGGAGGAAAAACAAGTGCTCACAAATGATAGAGGGCTGGTGCTGTTGGCGGCAGAGCGAGAGGTCTTAGGAAAACACATCTCCCAGAACTATCGCACTGCTTCAAGGTTACACTAATCTTTACGGCTTTGTGCAGATAAAAGTTTAAAAGCTGCAACGTGTTGCATGAACCACAGGGCTGGCACATCTCCTCCAAAACCCACTGTGTTACTCAAAGGACACCCACTTTGCAAAAGGCCGGTGTAGCCCTGCTACCGGTAGCAGTCTCTAAGTAGTAGCAGCACTCCCCCTACCTGAACAAGGCAGCCTCTGCCCGCGTTTTGTCCTAGAGCCGATTTTGTGCAGTGCAAAACCACTAGGGCCAAATTTAAATCCTTCAGGAACTCTAAAGGTACAAAGCCACACACGTGCACGCTGCAGAGCAGACATCCAGTTTTGCCGAAGCGTACAAACTTGGGGTGTTTCGCGGCGAAAAAAATAACAACAACCACAACAAAAAACGTTTAGCGGAAACCCCGACGATTCTCGAGCACAGTCACTGTAGCCTCGGAAGACGCAGAATTCCAGGGTCCAGGGCGGCGCGGGCAGAAGATGAGCTCCTCCGGGTGATGGATAGACCAGGCTGGCACTCTGAACCCCCCAGCCCCGCGGGACCCGAGACCCGGGCGAGTACGGCTTTGAAGAGCACCGGGTCTACGGAGCCCGCGTGGGCCGTGGGGCCGGACGCTGGGCGGTGGGGACGAGTCGGCAGCCGCCGTAGGCTGTGGTGGACTCCGCGTCAGGCCGACCCTGGGGCGCCCCGAGCTCACCGCCCCAACCGAGACCCGAGCCTCGTCGGTAGCAGGCAGCCGGAACGACCAACTTCGGCTTCCCGAGGCGCGCCGGCCGCCCGGCCTCGCGCCGGGAGCCGTTACCCGCAACGGGCCGCCGCCCCAGGACGAAGTCCTCGCCCACCCCCCGCAGCTGCCTCAGCCCCACTCCTCCCAGACCAAAGAAAGTTCTCGGTCTCCCGGCGCCCCCGGGGCCGGCGAGCGGTTCGCGGCGGACTCACCAGAGCAGCTCCGGACCCACCGCGGCCTCGCCTCGCGACCACCACGGCGACCACGGCGACCGAAGCAACCGGGCGACTGCGCTCCGCCAGCAGCCGCGCCACCTGCCCCTCTCCTCCCCCTAGCAGCGCGGGTCCGGGAGAGCCATCTTCCCTCCTCTCTCTGACTGACAATCCAGCCCCGACAGCCGCCACTGCCGCCAGTCTCTGTGACAGGCACCACCAGGGACCCGTCCCCAGACAGCCAACCGCCACCGCCCCACGCCTGGGCAGCCTATCACTGGCCCCCAGGGTGGGACCAGAACAACTTCTTCGCCAATAAGAATCTGCGGCTGCTGGGGCTCAGGGGCGTGGTCTGATGGATGGGCGTGGCCGGGGAACGCCCAGGGGAGATGAGTGACGACTGTCGGGTTTGTGGTGGCCCCTAAGCGATGATCAGACTCTCTGAAGCCCGTTAGAGCTTATGGACGTCTCAGAAGAAATTAAGCCTTGCCAGATGCTGTAAAACGTAATCAGAAAAGAAAAGCGAACTGATTTTTAATTACTCAAATAAATCATTTCACAAGAGTATATCAAAATTTGATGAGATCCTTTGAGGCGGGGGAAATGTATGTTTTCAGACATAGCAATGAAAATCCTTCCCTTTTGTTATGTTCATTGCTTTTGGCCTTAGTGTTCAAGTTTTCAAATATGGGGTCAAAGAAATGACTTAAGAGTTGAAAGTACTTACTGCTCTTGCACCCACATGGAAGGGGGGGGGGTGGTGTTCACACCTCTATAACTCCAGTTTCCAGGATCAGTTGCCTTCTTCTGGCCTCTGCAGACATCCGTGCACATGCACACATCACACATACACACACACACACACACACACACACACACACACACACACACACACACGAATTTTTTAACATGCAAAAGGGGAATGGAGAAATGGAGAAATGTCTCACTGCTCTTCCAGATGAATGGGATTCAGTTTCCAGGACCCACATCAGTGCTCACAGCTGCCTGTAACTCCATTTCCAGGGGATATAATGCTTCTGGATTCAGAAGGCACCTGCACAATGTGGTACACGTACATATACTCAGGCATACACATTAAAAAATAAACATCTTAAGAAAAAGAAATTCAAATATATTTCTCCACTTTTTCCATTATCCATTTTTCATCTTCCCTACATATTTCCCCCCTTAAGATAATATTATACTGACCCCCTGTGAGCCAGCTCCTGCCTATGCTCCACCATGTCACATTTGACCTTGTAGACTCCCCTTAGTACAGTCTCTCAACTCTAATCTGGTTAAATTAGAAGTTTTGTTGGTTTTGTTTTTTGTTTTTTTTTTTTTTAAGCCAACCTCCAACCTGGAAGACAGGAAGTCATTCTAGCTTAATGTTAGATATGAAAAAAAATTCTCCCAATGCATTAAGCAACTTTTAAAAACATACCAAAGAGATAACAATCAATCAACCCATTTTAGGTTTCATTAAACACATTGCTATGACACAGGATTATCTCTCCAAAGGCATAGCTGGATATACAGGAAAGAATAATAAAATATGGTGTTAAAGTCAACAGAGCCACGTTAAATGGGTGAAAAGAATACAAGGGAAGAAAAATCAAAGAACTCCACAGAGAAGACGTCTGAGTCATCTCTGAGAAGACAACACAAGATGATGTCACATGCCTATATTCCCAGCTACTGGAGAAGGAGAGGCAGAAGGATCACCGATTTGGGGCCAGCCTGAGCAACTTAGAAAGCCCCCCCCCATCAAGGTAAAAAATGTAAAGGGCAGAGGGCACCGTTCCACAGTGGAGTACCTGCTAGGATGTGCTAGTCCCAAGCCCAATATTCAGTGCCAAAGAAAGTTGAAAGTCAAGGTCATTTCAAAAAGAGAACAGCACATTCGTCCAAAGTCACAGAGTTGTGAAGGACACAGAGTGGTCGGGGAACACAGAAAAATGACAGGGAAAAGAGATGAGAAGTCACAAACTAGCCTACAGCAGAAAGTTGGGATGGACCCATGAAAAACCTATAGGCCTGATATAAGATGTTTACACCAGCACCATTCACAGTGGTGTCCGCCATGTTGGAAGTAGTCTCTATTGTCTTGTCCAAATTGGCAACAACTCCCTAAATATGGCTATTGAGCACTTGGAATACAGCATGATTGGGGATCTTGGGGTTTGTTTGTCGTTAAACTTAGTGTGTGTGTGTGTGTGTGTGTGTGTGTGTGTGTGTGTGTGTGTGTGGTGCATGTACTGCAGCACATGCATGGAGATAATTTTCTTTTTTACAGAATTGCTTCTCACCTTCCATCTCTGTGTGAGTCCCAGACATGAAACCCAGTCTTGAGTGGTAAGTGCTTCTATCCAGCACACAGTCTCACCATGTAGCCTTGGGCTTGCCTCCTGACACCGCCTCCAGGTTTGCACTCCCAATTCAAAAGCAGAGTAGAATGAGTCTATTCCCTTTGACAGTGTGGTAGTTTGAATGTAACTGGCCCCCGTAATCTCATGGGGGGGGGTAGCTTTATTAGAAGGTGCAACCCTATTTGAGTAAGTCATATTTGTGTCACTGTGGAGGTGGGCCTTGAGGTCCAGTGTCTTAGACCACTTCCTGTTGCCTGAAATATGTAGGACTTCTCCAGCACCATGGCTATCTGCACACTGCTATGTCCCACCATGATGATAATGGACTGAACCTCTGAACTGCAAGAAAGCCACCCTAATTAAATATCTTACTTTGTAAGAGTTGCTGTGCTCATAGTGTCTCCTCACAGAAGCAGAAACCCTAACTAAGACAGATGGGAATCTTAACAGATCAGCCTAGGTTCTGGCAGAGAACTGGAGTGATCATTTCTGTCCCCTGGGATGGAATGTGGTGAATGGGAGTGTGTAGCCCCAAGGCACAGGGACAGGAAGCCTGAAAAGTTAAATTCTGCTTTCAAGCCCCGAGGGAATAAGGGAATGAAGGTCCAAGGAGGGGAGGAAATCCAGATACATCTGGGTCATAAAATAGATAAGCAAGATACGCATAAAAAGATACACTCATACAATCAGTTCTACTGGCCACTGGCCCTGCTGCCCACTGATGTGTTGGCCTGCTTTAAAGAGCCAGGGTGTCTAGAGGCAGGAAGGACAGAGACAGGGCATATTCCAAAAGCTGAAGACCTGAGTCACACCAAATGGAATTAGGGATGGAAGGTGGGAGGAAATATCGCTTCCTGGGTTGTATAGGCACTTGATTCGTCACGCATACAATCAAATGCTAAAAACCCACCGCACAGATAGCTGGGTAACAAACATGAAAAGTTAATGGCTAATCTTTTCATGCAACTGTAAATGAGATGACACAAGACAGTACACAATTAAGGCATTGTTCCAACTGAGGAGCAAGCCCTCCAGTCAAACATGATGAGGGAGGCTTCGTGGAGAGGTATCAGCTGAACAATGTTTTTGAAAAAAATGGGATGAATCTGAATCAGGAAAAAAGGTCTGGGGAGGAAAGTCTTGGCATGCCTGCGGAAATAACAGAAGAGGGCCAGCACAAACAATGTTTAGAGGGCACTGGATGCAATACGGCTGGTCACCGCCTGGCATCTTGGTTGTGAGCAGAGTACCCTGAGTGCAAGCGCAGGGTGCAGGAAGACAATATTCTTTCTCTGTTCTGTCTGCTTACTAGAATCACTTAGGATGTGTTCCAAAATTACTAATACTCAACCTGCTCAGTCAATCAGAAAATTGGGGAGTAGGGATGAGGCCAAGACATCAGAACAGCTCTCTGATGCTACATTCGGACTATGTGGATGGATGGACTGGAAAGACGCTGGAGTCTAAGTTTACTTTATATAAATTTGTTTTCTTTCTTCAGGAAGAAATAGCTTACTGCCAGGCTTCACTTCCTGTTTTACATACAGTTTCATAAGCTAATATCAAGTCTACGTAAGTCTTCCTCTAAGTCTAAATCAAACCAAAGAACAAATTTCTGTTTGCCAACTACTTTCCAACACAAGTTGTACACATTAGTTTCTAATAATAAGAGTCTAATAATAAGAGTCTAATAATAAGTTAACTGCTACACAAAACCATTTATATTTTAGTAGCAAAACTGTGGGGTGGCAGAGCCTAAGAGAACATTCTGTCTCAAAGGGGAAATGCTTTTAAACTACTTTATAAAAGTCATCACATCCCAGGCCCTTCCCTGTCCGTCTTTGCTAGTCTCTGCTGTCTGGGAGCACAAGTCCACACAAACTGTTAAGGTGGCTTTACCATCCTGAAAGAAGACCAGTTGGACATTTTCCCTATTATATTAAATCCCAGGAACTCTAAGAAAATGGGTATCTAAAATAGATTTTGTTTTGTTTTTCGAGGCAGGGTTTCTCTGTGGCTTTGGAGACTATCTTGGCACTAGCTCTTGTAGACTAGGCTGGCCTTGAACCCACAGAGATCTGCCTGCCTCTGCCTCCCGAGTGCTGGGATTAAAGGCGTGCGCCACCACCGCCCGGCCTAAAATGGATTTCTATTAAAATTGCCTGGAAACAAGAAAATAACATGACTTTTTAATGAAAAGAAAAAAATTTTATTCTTAAAAATGTGGGAAAGCCAGGCATGGTGGCACATACCCATAACCTCAGCACAGAGGAGGCTGGAGCAGGACTACCACAATTCAAAGCTACTGTGAGCTACAGTACCAGGTCAGCAGGGGCTACAACGTGAAAAGCTGTCTACAATCAACAAACAAGAAACAGTCAGAATATGCCCAAGTTTTGCTTCACTACTATGTTAAGCACATCACAATCTAAAATCTTAGTGTGCATACAGGGTCATTCAGAGGCTCTGCAGTACCAGATGCTGGATCAGACTCCCATATGACCCACTTCATAGAAATGTACTACCTGGGGCAGCAAAGCTTAAAAGGTGACTGACCGTAGGGACACTGCACAACAGCAGGAACAGTGACAACTGCTTACAGCTTTCAAGAACTTGAATTAACCAATCACACAGTAGGGGCTGAAGCTAAAACGTTGGGTAGCAAAGGCTTCAGAAGCCAGCAGTGGGACGAGTTAATGAACAAAGTGATGCTGGGAAGGAGAGAAGGGGCGGACGCAGCAGAGGGCGTAGAAG